ATTTATTGTTATTTATTTTTTATTTATTTATTATTTTATTTATTTATTATTTGTTTATTTATTATTTATTTGTTTATTTATTATTTATTTATTTACTATTATTATTTATTTGTTTATTATTTATTATTATCTTATTATTCAACCCTTTCGTCTTTTTGTTGTGTCGCATACATAGATATATTGCTATAGTTAGAGAAAGCTATAGCAAAAGTAAATAGATACCTTGTATCTAGGTCCGCCGTTGTTGAGCATCGCTTTAGTCTCGTGACCGGCGTATATCACTACGCCCTCGACGAAGTCGGTATTCTTCAACAAACACTGCCTGAGTAAAAGATTTTCCGTAGAAACAGGTACTCTGCCACCGTTCGGGTGAACCACGGCCCCGTGAAACCTGCAATTTTTTCACATAGAAAAATATTTCATCGATCTCTGCTCCCTATACAGCGTCTATTTCTAGTAATAATAGTCTTCGCAACAAACATTACTGTGACGGACAGCTCACCGATATATCCTCGTGCTCGGTTGATCGACCTCGATCACCGATCGAAATTTCGCTGGCTGAAAGGTATCTTGGAGGTCCACGAAACCTCGAACAACCTGCCGTTCCTTCAGATTCGTTTCGCCGTCGAGATTACACGTGTCGAGGTACGCAACGCCGTGAGGATCGCTGCTTCGTAGGAGGAGAACATCGGCCGGCACCAGTTCGTTATTCGAGAGGTGAACAAGGTCGCCGACCTTCACGTCTTTCCACGCCACCTTCGCATACCTGTCGTCCTCGCTGTAATCACACGAAACGTATTTTCCAGAAATGCATCTCCTCTACTTGATCGATCAGAAGGCTGTGAGGATTTACGAAAAAAGGATGACAAATGTAAGCCCGTCCCTCCATTTACGCAACACTTGCTTTCACGTGTATTAACACTATTTTTCTACAATTATAACAACACTATTTACGCGATCTGAATTTATACGCTGTCAGAAAATATATTTCCCTAGAATCTTTAAAAGTGACAGCAACAGTAACACTTTGTAGCGCAGGGGTGACCAACCGTGGCACAAGTATACGCAGATATAACCTAACCTAACCATAGATAATTTGGTTAACAGGAAAAAGCACTCATAAATACCATTGAAAAGTAAGTTATTTTGTCTTTTTCTTATGTCTTTACATGTTCACTATTTATAAAAACACTTTTGTTGTTAAAAAAATTTAGTGGCGCATCGAAACTCACTTGAGAAAAAAGTGGCGCGCAAGATACAAAAGTTTGCCCACCCCTGTCATACCGTTTGTTTTCTACAAGCCGGTTATGATTATCCAGCGATGTTCAAATTTACGATAACAAATTTACTTAGCGAAACTTAGCGAAAGATAAGTTCGACAAAATTGACATTAACAAAATAAAGTTAAACTTTCAAATATTTCAAATGACGAATTTCTGCCAATTAATCTCTTGCGCTGGAATGACGTGCCACGCACGTCGAGAATTTTTTCACGTTCCAAAAGTGCAATATTTTCTCAGTTTTAAATATATTTAAATATAACACAGGCAAAACAAATAATAAATTTATTACTTCTTAATAATAATTTCTATCCAGTGATGTTATACCGACGAGTTCAAAAAGAAAGCGACGAATTATTGTATACGGTTTGGTCACACTCGTTATGGTCCGTGAACCAATTGTCAACGCAAGAGGTTAAAGAGAAAAGATTGATCGTTAACATCGAATGAAATTTATTTGTGTCTTCTAAAATGTCATTATTTTTTTTCTTTTTTTTGCTAACCTGTGTGAAATAAATATGTATTTCTATAACTTGATTTTCTTTCGAATATTTTGTTTTCTTTTACAGTGATAGACGCGATTTTCATTCGCATGAAACGAATTCATGTGGAACGGGTAGTCCGCGTAAACAGAAGGACGGATGTATTTATTATGTATCTCTAGTTAGTGCCGTTTAATATCCATCCAAACGACGTTGTTCTTTTTTTCGTAGCGCCATTGCCAACACGCTGTGCTGTCAATGAAACGAAACAACCTTCGCAACCGAATGTTGCCTTTTATGTGTATATTTAGTAACAATCGAACTGTCAATGTGTTCCAGACGTTGATCATTCTTAATTATTTGTCATTGCTGTTCGCAAGATGCTTACTCATTGATAGCGCAAACGATCGAAAGGTCGAGTTTAATTTTATCGGTCTTACTCGAGTTACCAACTGAATACAAATTCGAATCGTATGAATGAATCAGTGTTTTGATTGGCTTATATACAGAGTGAATAGAAAAAAGGGTTCATAACTTCTAGGTTAGATAGTACTCGCCGAGGAAAATTTCTAATAAACATGGGTCAAAAAATTAATAGTTTCAATTTCATTATAAACGATTTTTTTTTTTGGTTTCGGTTAAAGAAATGAATTTCTTCGCTTCGAAAGCTGTTATAATACGAATGTAAGTGGTGGTTCACCTTATAATTTTATTACAGGAAGTTAGGTTTAGGTTAAGTTTGTAACTTTGAAACTATTAATTTTTCGATTTTTATTAGCATCTTTTTCCATGTTTCGACGAATACTATTTACCCCAGAAATTATTAACCTTGTGTGTGTGTGTGTATGTTTTACATATTGCACTTTTTTTTCCAAGGAACACCTCACTTAGAATTTACTGGTTGTTCTCGAGTTACACGTCTCGTATTTCATTTTTGCGTGAAAACATTCGTGTTTACCGTTTAGGTTGATTAATACGATCACCATCTAATCAAAGATTTCCTAGCATCGGAAATTACTCGACGATATGCATACCACGTCTCAGATAAATATTTTCATTGTGCAATAATTTAAGGTAACAAGGGAAATAATGGTGGAATAATGATGGGAAAAATGTCGAACGTGAGCAAAGGTATAGAGGCCACTTCAAGGTTACTTTCTCAACTTTCTAAATGGGGCGTCGGTTTTTCGTTCTCAACGTCGTTCACGACACACGAGGGACGATCAAATCTGACCTAGACTCCACTTTAGAGGTCACTGTTACATGGTTTTTGTCTCGTCAAATAAGAATCGTTGATCCGTGCAACCTTTCGTAACATAATTGGAACCATTTGTTACGCACATTGTTCGAGACGTTTCGACCAACTACAGAGCCACATCTAAAAAAGATACATATACGTACGTGCACGTTTCATTTTGTCGAAAGAAAAAAAAAAAGAGTGACCATCAATCTAGCCTAAACCTTTGCACTCGACTGTTCCGAACTCGAACTTCTTCTTTTCATAATTTGCTAATGATCATAACGTGTACATTTGGTATACATTTGTATGATGCGATAGTATAATAGTATAATAGTATAATATGTATAATCTGAACAGACGCCTGGAATGAAAGCCATGATGTAACGACGTAAGAGAAACACAAATTCTTGTCATTCAAAAAGTGAATTTTTGACTTCAAGTGGAGGAAGCCTAAAAGGCCATTAACTTGGTCTAAAAAAAAAAAGTAACATCCACGAAAGAAAAAAATGATAATAAAACGAAGTGACACGATAAACAACAAAAGAGAACAGAAGTGCCACAAATACAAAATAATTTTAATGGGAGCTTCCTCTGTAAGTATCTTCACGAGCATCTAAATTGTTACAAAATAAAATAAGAGTACCTAACAAATTTGAAAAAGCAATTAATAAGGTGAAAAAGAAATTCACTGTTAATAACTCATTCTCGAATTGCCCTTGTAGAAAGTCAAATGTAGAGCGTGAGGATCTAGAGACAAAACGAACGACCGAGATCCACAATCACAAACGAAAATTCGTTTTCCACGGATGGATAATCAGCGATCGCGTTGCAAAGAGAACACTTACTTCAACAAAAGCCAGCGTTGTCCGAGAGAATTCCTTTGCAAACCGTGAGATCGTTATCTTCGAGTATTCAATAATGAGACTAATCGCTACGCGGAACGAGATAGATACATACGTACACACGTTCAATGTCGTCGAGAACGAGGAAAATGCAAAATCGTGACATTTATCTTCACGAGTTCCGATTGTCGTAACACAAAGAAAACAGCACCGACAAAACGGTCAGGCTCGTGGTGTATTTTTATGGCAATATTTTTTTTTCTTTTTTTTTTTTACGTAGAGGAAATCTTCATAACATCGTCCTCCGCACGTTGGGAGAGCTTCGGGACCTTTTTATACACACACAGAGCTCTCCCGTGCTATTGTCATTAAGGACAATATCTTTTTTTTTTTTTT